TTAACAGAGACAGGCAAACCACTGAGCAATAAAAGATAGCGGCAATAAATATCCAACAAAAGATTTGTATCTAGAATACAGAAAGAACTAAAAAAAAATTTTCTAAGACAATTTGAAAAAAAAAATGTAGAAAACTCAGACAGGTGCTTTGTAAGAGGATCTCCAGATGGCCAGTTCAATATTAGGCAAAAAGTGCCCAACACCGTTAGTCCTCATGAAATGAAGAAATCAAATCAATGAAATGGAAAGCCCCACAAGATACTGCTCCATAGCTATGGTGCAGGCATGTTAGAGGTGCCAGTCCTGCTGGGAGGCAGTGTAAATCAGTACAACCACCTCAGAAAACGGTTTGGCTGTAGCCACCAGTGTGGATACGTTACAACTCAGAAATCGTATATAAGTCTGTATCCAACAAGTGCATATTGTTCATTGTCCCTTGTCGTGTTCTCTTGTATCTGCTTACTTAACCCAGGCTGTAGTTCTCTCCCAAGTCTTCATTTCTTCAGGAGCAAGCTGATAGCAAACGTTATGGCATAGTGGTTTTCTTCAGAAAACACTACTGGGGGCCAGTGTTGTGGCACAGTGGGTAAAGCCACTGCCTGCGATACTGGCATCCCATATGGGCACCAGCTCATGTCCTGGCCACTCCACTTCTGATCCAGCTCCCTGCTAGTGGTGTAGGAAAAAAACAGTGGAAGATGGCCTGAGTGTTTGGACCCCTGCCACCCACATGAGAGATCTAGATGAAGCTCCAGGCTCCTGGCTTTAGCTGGGCCAGACTTGGCCATTGCAGCCAGCTGGAGAGGGAACCAGTGGATGAAAGATTCTTGCTCTCACTCTTTCACTGTGTGTGTATGTGTGTGTGTGTGTCCAACTCTAAAATAAATTACTTAAAAAAATCCTGCCATTAAAATTAGCTTTTTATTTCATCTGCGAATATAGTCTGATTTGTTTAGTTGTGCCCTTACCATTGGACATGGTAGGTTCTTTCTTGTTTTGCTTGCTTATTTGTTTTCTTGCTATTATAAATATTAGCATAAAAAGAAAAAATATACCTTTGTGTGTGTGTGAGAGAGAGAGAGAGAGTATGTGTGTATTTGTGTCTGAAGATAGATGATAAATGCTTTCACATCATTAGCTTTGCTGTGATTAATAACTGTTTTGATCACCTTTGCTTGTTTTTTCTTTGTAGCCCTGTGGCTTATTGTGAACTAGACTGGCCACTGACCCCACAGTTGGCATCCTGGTGATGTCACCATTCTCCTGAAATTCCTGCATCTTGTGTGAACTCTCCTATTTCCTGGCTCCTCTGTCATCTTAGCTTACTGCTTTGTGGAGGGAAAAAATCACACCCCATTACCTCACAGTAGCTTCCTGAGTAAGGTAGACATACGAGCTAAGCTTTTTAGATTTTGCAGGTCTTAAAACTATCTTTTATTTTACCATAATCTTAATTAATTATTAGTTGCACATAGAATTCTAGTTTAGAGTTTATTCCAGCTGTCATAGGAATTACTCCATTGTCTTCTGACTTCCAGTGTTGCTGGCAAGAAGTCTGTTGCTGTTCTGATGCCTGATCTTTAGTTTGTTTTGTTTGTTGTTTAACCTTTTATGTTGAGATTATTTCAGACATACAGTGGTATTTTAGTTTTATTCATTAGGTTGTTTGCTGATGACCCCTTTCAGTTGGAAACGTGTGCTTCTATTTAGGGACATTTTCTTAAATTATTTTCTATATTTTGATCATTTCTACCTCGCTGTTTTCTGTGATTCTTTCTGGAACGCTATTCAGATGTTGGCCTTCCCAGACTTATCTTATGTTTTATTTTTTCTTATTATTCAGCTTTCTACTTTTTAAAAAAATATATAGTTGAGAAAGAGAAAGGAGAGATCAAGTACACTTCTGTATACTGGTTCACTCTCCAAATGCCCGGGAGCCAGGAACACAATGTAGGTCTCTGACTTGGGTGACAGCAACCCAGTGACCTGAGCTATTGCCACTGCCTTCCAGAGCTGCAGCAGCAGGAGGCTGGAGCCAGGAGCTGCAGGCAGGCACCAAATCCAGGCACTTTGGTGTGGCGTGCGCTTAACCGGGTCTGAACCACTGAGCCAAACACCCATCCCCACCTTCAAAAAAAATATTTGTTGTACTTTTCTACTTTCTCAACTTTATCTTGTTTTGGTTATCTTTATTTTTTTTTCTGTTTTCCTACTGTTTTAAGAGCCTTTCTTTTTTAAAAAAAAAAATAGCATCGTGTTGTTTATGGATTCAGTATCTCCTCCCGTCTCTCCGAGGACATCAGTGATGCCCTTTTGTGACATTTCAGCCTTGCATAGCTCGTTTCCCACAGGCTGCTTTCTCGACTTGTGTTTTGGTGCACCTTCCATGTTACACGTTTCCCAAGAGTGGAGCACCACGAAACTGACGGGAAGTCCCGCCCTGGCCTCTCCTGCCTGTGCTCTTCCCCTGGGAGGGCCTTGCTGACTGCTTCACTGGGGACCCTGGCTGTCAGCCCTTTCTGGCTCAGAATGTTTGGCTTCCCCAAGGAAGACCCTTAAACCTTCTGTCCAGAGGGTGTCAGTTGGCTTCATTCATTGCCTTGCTTTCAGCGTGGTTCCTCCCCTTCTTCAGTTCTGCTCTGTGGCCCCCACTTCAAAGTTTGTCTTTTACCTTCCTTAATAGTCAGCACCTGGCTTTCTGATCTGATTACTTCTGAAGGACGTGTTCACCCAGCCCTGCTTCTCTCGGCACCACCCTCCCTCACTACAGTTGCAGGACTCAGCACCACCAGTGCCTGAGCTTTGGGCACTTGCTGGCTGGTCATTGGCTCTCCCCAGCTGCTGATGTAAAAGTTAGCCGCCTGGGGCCATCTTAGTCCATCACCACCTGGTTTTTCACCCTCCAACTTCCCTAATTTTGTTGCTGTCATCTCTTTCCCTGTTGTTTCTGTCTTTATGATTTATACCTCTTTTTAAAAAAGATTTATTTATTTGAGAGGCAGAGGGAAAGGTCTTCCATCCTCTGGTTCACTCCCAAATGGCTGCGATAGCTGGAGCTGGGTGGATCCGAAGCCAGGAGCCAGAAGCTGCTTCTGGGTTTCCCATATGGATGCAGGGGTGCAAGCACTTGGGCCATCTTCTGTTGCTTTTCTGCTGGATTGGACGAGGAGCAGCTGGGATTTGAACTGGCACCCATACGGGATGCCGGTGCCACAGCCGGAGGCTTAACCTACTTTTCTTTCTTCCTTTCTTCCTTTCTTCCTTTCTTCCTTTCTTCCTTTCTTCCTTTCTTCCTTTCTTCCTTTCTTCCTTTCTTCCTTTCTTCCTTTCTTCCTTTCTTCCTTTCTTCCTTTCTTCCTTTCTTCCTTTCTTCCTTTCTTCCTTTCTTCCTTTCTTCCTTTCTTCCTTTCTTCCTTTCTTCCTTTCTTCCTTTCTTCCTTTCTTCCTTTCTTCCTTTCTTCCTTTCTTCCTTTCTTCCTTTCTTCCTTTCTTCCTTTCTTCCTTTCTTCCTTTCTTCCTTTCTTCCTTCCTTCCTTCCTTCCTTCCTTCCTTCCTTCCTTCCTTCCTTCCTTCCTTCCTTCCTTCCTTCCTTCCTTCCTTCCTTTCTTTCTTTCTTTCTTTCTTTCTTTCTTTCACAGGCAGAGTGGACAGTGAGAGAGAGAGACAGAGAGAAAGGTCTTCCTTTGCCGTTGGTTCACCCTCCAATGGCCGCCATGGCCAGCGTGCTGCGGCCGGCGCACCGCGCTGATCCGATGGCAGGAGCCAGGTGCTTTTCCTGGTCTCCCATGGGGTACAGGGCCCAAGTACTTGGGCCATCCTCCACTGCACTCCCTGGCCACAGCAGAGAGCTGGCCTGGAAGAGGGGCAACCGGGACAGAATCCGGTGCCCCGACCGGGACTAGAACCCGGTGTGCCGGCGCCGCAAGGCGGAGGATTAGCCTAGTGAGCCGCGGCGCCGGCCATGGAGGCTTAACCTACTATGCCACAGCGCCAGCCCTGCTTTATGTCTTTTTTAAAAGTAAGAAATAAGGGCCAGTGTGTGGCACAGCAGGTTAAGCCACCACTTGGGATGCTGGCATGCCCTATGGGAGTGCCTGTTGGAGTCCTGGCTGCTCTACTCTCAGTGCAGCCCCCTGCTGATGTGCCTGGGAAGGCAGCAGAGGAGGATGTAAGCGCTTCTGCCCTGCCACCCACACGGGAGACAGGGATGGAGCTCCTGGCTCCAGGCTTCAGCTTGGCCCAGCCAGGCCATTGCAGCCATTTGGGGAGTGAACCAGGGCATGGAAGATTCTCTCTCTCTTCTGTGTGTGTCCCCTCTCTGTGTCACTCAGCTTGTCAAATAAATCAATCAATCCCAATATTGCTGTAGTGGAGTTGCTAGAAGGAGAGGAGATAAATATGAGTCCAACTCACTATCTTTGGCCAGAGGTTTCCCCCTGGCTATGGAAAAACACGATGTGGGCAGCACTAAGTTACAACAGCCTTCCCACAGACAGCTTGGGGGATTGCTCAGAGGGAACCACAAAGCTAGCGCCAGTAATAGGTGCTGGAACTAAAGCCCACAATGACCCCAGACATGACCGAGGCCAGGAGCCAGGAACTCAGTCCACGTCTCCCAGAAGGGTGGCAGGAACCCAATTACTCGAGCCATCACCACTGCCTCCGAGGGTCCACTTTAGCAGGAAGCTGGCATTAGGAACCAGAACTGGGGATTGAACCCAGCACTCTGACAAGCGGCGTGGGTGCCTTAACCGGCATGTCAGCGCTAGGCCAAACACCCACCCTGATGGTAGCTTTTTTCTTTTTTTTATGCAGATAAAATGGTGAGGAACACAGAGGCAGGGTCTGTCTGGGGCGATTCCAGTGGCAGGGATCCTTGAGGCTGCGGTGCATCCCGCCCACGGCTGTGTACTGACGCCTGCTTTACCGTGGCTTTTTCTCTTCAACGAAACCCCTGTTTGTGTTCTTTCTCCCGCCCCTACCCCACACCTGACTTACAGGATGACGAGAGCCTCAGGTACCTCACACACGAGGAAAAGGATGTCATCCTGTTTTTTGAGGAGACTCTGGATTCCTTGGAAGATGACTTTGAGGAGCCGGTCCAGTGTGACAGCGGGATCCACTGCCACTCCCCACAGTCCCTGGAGGAGAGCGCTTCCAGTCACTCTGAGCCTGAAGATGTCATCGATCTGGTGCAGCCAGGACCTTCGGCTGGGGAAGCGGAGCGCCCTGCGGCCGTGACCCAGCCAGCAGGTGAGGGGTCCCCACCCAGAGGCGCGTTCTGTGTGTGCTCCTGCCGCTGCGGATGCGCTTGAGGTTTCTGCGATCTTTACCGGGGAGAGGGCGGGCATTTGGCCTTGTGGTTAAAATGCCACTTGGGACTCCTGCAGCCAGTACCACAGTGCCTGGGTCCAAGTTCTGACTCTGCTCCCAATTCCAGCGTCTTGCTAACACACACCCGCGGAGGCAGCAGGGGCTAGCCCAAGGACTTGGGTCTGTGCCAGCCACATGGGAAACCTAGATGGAGTTCCAGGCTCCTGACTGTGGCCTGGTCTAGCCCTGGCTGTAGTGAGCATTTGAGGAATGAAATTACAGATGGGATGCATCTCTCTCTGTGTCTTTCAAATTAAAACAGATTTTTAGAGAGGATTAGCATCCTCTTAGTAGTGTGATTGTCCAACAAAGAGAAACCCCAAAAGGACTAGAATAAAGAAATGAGACTAATTGACTATGTAAGTAGAAAAAATAGAATGGATGGATAGAAGAAAAACTGGATGGATGGATAGATAGGGAGGGAAGGGGGGAGGGAGGCAATTGGAAATGGCTTCCAGATAACAATTCCGTTTTCCAAAGAACACACAGGAGACCTGGTATTCGGGTGCCAGCCTTGACCCGCTTGTACAGCTTGACTCCCCAGATGAGAGCGTTGACCTCAGTACCTGCTTTGTCCCTTCTGCTTCACTCCGAGTGGCTCCACAGAGAGCTGTGCTTTGGTCCAGGGCGTCCTGTGGAGGACTTGGAGGGACAGGGACACAGAGACGTCTCTGCAGTCTGTTTTCTCCCTGATTCAAAAAGTTATTCGGAAACAGAAGAGGGCAAGGAGATGGGATTGGGAAGGATGAGGAATGACTTGGAGGGAACACTTGTCTGGTCTCTATAAAATCCCACCATGCCTCATGAGCCTCCGCAAGTGCCTGCACGTGTGTGTGTGTGTGTGTGTGTGTGCACGTGTGCGTGGAAGCAAGGCTGTGCATCACTCGGAATGTCACAGAGGAACAGAGGTACGGTTATGGTTGTGGTTTCCGTTCTAAGGATGGAGCTTGGGCTCCAGGCATCTCTTCAAAGCGCAGTGTGAATTTGGCATTTTTATTACACTTCCGCTTTGAAGTGTAGCTCCTCAAAGTGATTTGAGCCAGCTGAGCCTTATGAAGTGTCCGTTCACGTCATCACACCAAGGGGAAACAGGCCGCCCGCGCCCGCCGATTCCCTTGAGATGGCGTTGTCAGAGCGGTGCTGAGTGCCTCCTGGGTGGCAGGCACTGCGTGAGGAAATGGTGAGAACAGAGTGAGGACAGGGATCCCACCTGGGGCTGCCGAGAGGCCTTGCCGTGTCACGTGGAAGGACCTGCACTGCCTGGGGTCACCTTTGCAGGCAGTCTCTGCCTCCTGCCCACGCCCCTCGGCTCAGCTGCCCTTTCCCCGGGTGCTTGCTAGGTGCTGCCTGCAGCTTCAGACCTGCAGGCCTCTGGCCGTCACTGATCTGGTCATTCTCAGTGCACGGTCCTAAGAACTGGTCACTCCTTCTCTTTCACTGTAGTGTCCAGGGCACCGGCTCCTGGGGCACCCTGGGAGTTGGCATTGTGTCGCTGTGAGACTCCCTTAAATCCAGGGAGGAAGAAATGTGTGGTGACTGTAACATCTGAAGTGGGAGCTTATGTGGCATCTCCCTGCCTTCCAGGGGCTGCACCTGTCGGGAAGGAAGACGCGCCCATCCTTGAGTGCGAGAAACCAGAGGCCGAGAGTTCCCAGCCGCCGGACCCCACAGAGCTGGGCGCCCTTCCTCCGCCAGCTTCCCCACCCAGCACCTTGGCCCCGGGCCCCCCCAGGAAAGAGCCGCTCTCCCCTCCTCCAGCAGAGCACCCCAAACTGTCCCGCTCCATCCCCACTCCTCTGGTCCTCGCCCAGAGGATTTCCGAGAAGTTGGTAGGAGGCGAGGCGCTGTCGCCCACGTCCCCCTTGAAGGAGGGCAGGCCCGGAGAAGGGAGGACGCCCGGGGAGCCCTCGCCATGGCACAGACACCCCGCGCAGCCTGCACCCAAGGTGCACCGCTTCCCCAGCAACATCAGCGTGACCAACAGTGCGGGGAAGGAATTCAACAAGACCATCTCCAAGGCTGCCGTCAACGTGCAGGAGCGCAGAGCGCAGGTCCTGGCCAACATCAACGGCGTCTCCTTCCTCACCGCAGCGGCCGGCAGGGAGGACGCGGCCCCCAAGAATGACCTCGAGCAGAGGAGAGGCCCCCCTCCGGGTCAGGCGACCCAGGAGCAGAGCGGGGGTGGCCCAGCCAAGGACGCCAACGGCCCACAGGCAGCACAGGCCAGCCGCCAGCACTCCCGAGGCGTGCAGACCGAGCGGTGCCCAGCGCTGGCCAACGGCTTCCAGAGCATCCACGACGTCCTGCAGAGCGAGCCCAGCCCCTTCGTGTCCACCGGCAAGACGGTCACCATCCGTCCGGACCCAGCTCTTCCCGGTAAACTGGCACGCCAGAGCGCCAGCAAGAGCTGCTGCGACGGTGGGCCGCCGCCCAGGAGGCGAACGGGCTCTCTCCCGAGGGCGGCCGGCTTCAGACCCCAGGGCATCACCGTGCAATTCTCTGGCCGAGGCTCCACCGAGGAGGCTCGCCGGGAGGCCCTGCGGAAGCTTGGGCTCCTGAAAGAGAACTTGTGACAGAGACCGGCCAGCCGTGGCCTGCGGAGTGGCCAGAGCGGACCGTGTTCCCCTCCCCCGCTGGGTTTGTTCCATCCTGCAGAGCCAGGAGCTCCCGGCCTAAAGAGCAGCTGTGGCTCCTGCTGCGCCTGCCCTGCAGAGAGTCTGGGACTGAGGCCACGGGCTGGGGGTGGGGCAGGGGAAGAGCGGAGCACTGCCCACTCCCCACTGCCGTCCCACCGCTTCTGTACAGGGCAGACCCTGGGCCCAGGTCTCCCAGGACCTCCGGGGATCAGCTCCCAGGGTTTCCAGATGCCATGTGCTTTGCGAGCTGGGGAGGGGGCACATGTGACTTGTGACCCTGGCACAGGCAGAGGACGTGGAAGCCAGGTCAGAGCTCTTCTCAGGACCCCCCCCCACACACACACACACTTCCCTAGAGAATTAAAAATGCTTAGGGTGCTTTCTCCCTCTGTTTCTGAAGGGTGAAAGGTGGTACTTCGGCTCTAGCTGTGCTCTCATTTCTTGATATAACTTAGCTTCCCCAGGGTTTTCACTGGAAATAAAATGAGACCTCTGGGTTATGGTCGACTGCAGTTTTGGATTGTGAGGGTGCAACAGGTTGAGTCTGGAAAAGGTGATTTTGAGAAGGCCAGTCTCATTGGACTACAAGGTCTGCGTTACTCAGACATAAACATGTATCTGTGTTGTGTGTCTCTGTGTACATAACCTATGTTGTAGATACATACGTGTTAGCATATACATACACATACATGGGTGTGTATGCATATTCCCAGTTACACGAATAGAAGCGTGTGAGGACCCTGTGAAGTCACCGTAGGATGTGCGCACTTGCTGTTCTGATGGACACAGGTGCCCTAGCGTCGTGATGGTGTCAGCTTCCTAATCTGGACGTCTCGGGAGGATGCAGCGCCACGGTGTTTTGGGGACTCCAGAGTGAGTTCACTCCACGCTGTGTGCCCCTGTTCCCAGTTAAAGTCAGGTGCCCTGCTTCCACGTGAGAAGAAGCTCCCTATTCAGTGAAGAACATTTAAAGATTCCTCCCCTTCATCACCTAGTGTTAGTTTTGCATGTTCCGGGGCAGCCAGTGAGCTGAAGGACAGAGATCTGTTGTTGTCATCATCGTGGTTGCAATTCCAGCAAAGTTTTATCGCAAAAGTAAAGAGACAGCAACTGGTACACCTGATAGGCCAGGCGGGCCTCAGCAGAGGCTGAGAGCCAGAAGCAGACTCTTAAAAGGCCCCGCTGGTTCTGTTCCGTGAATGAAATCTCAGGACTACCTTAGAAGAGGCAGGTAGTGAACCAGGCTGCACAGCGTGCAGAGACCTGGACAACTCGCAGGCTGAGCCCTCCACGCTGGGCTGGGCCACCCGTGTGATCCTCCAAAAATAGCCAGGGCAGGGCTGCCCAGAAGCCACGCCCTGTGTGTGTGTGTCACAGCCAGCGGGGACAGAGCCCGGCTCCATCCTGTTGAGTGTTACTGAAATTCAGACTTCTGCATGTGCCTGAAGGGCATTTGTCCTAGTGTCCAGTGGGTCGTGTCAGTTACGGAAGACAGAGGATTGTCCTGTCTTCCTTGGAACTACGGGAAGGAAGGGGTCGCACCCAACTCTTGTTCTCCTGACGTAATCTCACAGATTCCCCAGGATCCTGATTGTAAATAGGTGCTTTGATCATACAGCTTTTAACCAGGGTTAGTTAGGTTTAGTTTCCTCCTGTTTTTGTTGAACTTGTTGAAAGTGTTCTTGAAGGCCCGTGTGCTTTCTGCAGAGTGAATGGCACCCAGCGTGTGTAATAGTGGAGGGGCTCGCTACGGCTCATGTCTGCAGTGCCCTGTGGGCAGACCTGACCTTGTGATTCATTGTGAGCAGGGTGCACTCAACTCTGTGTTAGTGTATTTGCTCTCAAAGTGATGTATTTGAGAAATAAGTTTAGAGTTTTACTCTAAGTATGAGCAACTTTATTTTTACATTATATACTATATTCTCAATTACTTTCTTTTTGGTGGTTACAGCCTTCACTTTATTTATTCATAATTTCCTCCTGTCTAATTTATTCCTAATTCTGCTGTTATTCTGGTCACTTCTCATGGTGCACGCACGCCCTGGTGATGAAAGCCGGATGATGTGTGCAAGGTTCAAACCACAGCTGCTCCTGCCCTCGGCGCAAGTCCGTGTCAGGCTAACACGAAGCCTGGCGTGCCCTTGTCACCACTGTGTGATGGGCTGTGCTCGAAGGCCTCCATTTCAAAGCAAAATCATGGTGAAAGGAAGAACAGCCTGCTGTGGCACACCCTGGGAGGCAGCGGGTGATGGCTGCAGCGCCTGGTCCCGGCCTCTCGCTGTGGGAGACCTGCACTGAGTTCCTGGCTCCTGGCTTTGGCGTGGCCCAGCCCTGGTCGTTGCTAGCGTGTGGGGAGTGAACCAGCAGATGGGAGCTCTTTGTCCATCTGTCTCTCTACCTTTTAATTAAAATGAAAATAATAAAAAGAGGAATGATGAACTCTAATAAGAGTCCAGAGTTTTGTTTTTTGTTTATTTCAAGCAATGTTTATGAGCCAGTCTTTACTTTCATGAAACTGTCTTAATACTTGAAAACCAAGAAAGAAAATTCTCCTTCACTCTTTGGAAGGGGTGCACAAGTGGCCAAACCACAGTCTGCAGGTGGTCACTTTGCAGGCCCAGGGGGTAACAACGTTTGCCCCAGTCCTTCCTCCTCCTCACTCCTTCATATTTGCTTCCCAGCGTGCATACATATCTTCACCAAGTCGGCAGCAGTGTGGATCTTTGCTCTCCGTCTGCCTGCCTGAGCCCACCTGCTGGTTGAGGAGACAGGCATAGGAAAGTCCCCGTTGCAGGGACAGGAGCTGAGGGCAATGCCATTCACAGTGTCCGCCGGTGCCTCTGCCTCTGCCCCTGCCCTGTGACCTGAGCTTTCGAAGGAGATGCAAAGGCCAGGGCCCGAGGCCGGAGCTGCCTTCCTGTCTCATGGGGCTACACCAGCTGCTGTCTTAACAGTACAAGATGAATGGCGCGGAATTCCTGGTGGGCAGTTCCCGCAGTCGGATCCCCATTTGAAACCAGCTTTATGAAGATCTCAGGGGACCTGTGTAACTCTTCAGATCGACCTTTTATTAAAAAAAAAAAAAAAAAAAAAATTCCTAGGGACCAGGATTGTGCTTGGGACGCCAGCATCAGAGTGCTGGCTACAGTCTCAGCCACTCTCCTTGGACCCGCTCCCTGCTGATGCTCCTGGAGGCAGCAGATGATGGCCCAGGTGCTTGAGTCCCTGCCACTCACGGGGGAGACCAGGATGGAGTTCCTGCCTCCTGGTTTTGGCCTGGCCCAGCCCCATCTGCTGCAGCCATTTGTGGGGTGAACCAGCGGATGGAAGATCTCTCTCCCCTTTTCTGTTGCTCTGCCTTTCAAATAAATGACATAACAGATCCTAAATACATACACACCCGCACACACACACAAGATACATTCTTTTCAAATAACCGCTTTTCCAATCTGGCTCTCCAGGTTGTGACCTGCAGAGGATTTGGTGGCCGTGTTCTCTATACAGGTCACCCCAGGAGTCAGCCCTTGAGTGCTTATTAAGGAGGGGGAAAGAGAAAGAAGAGAAATGTGACAGTGTGCGCCTCAGAATCTTTGCAGCTGCTGTGCTGTGTGCTCATGGCTGCTGGAGTGCATTTTATCGCTGCGACATGGCGCAACCTATCAGCTGCGTTTGCTCCAAACTGCAAATAAAGGTGCTGTCTGAGTGAGCGCTGCCCTTGTTTTCTGTCTCTTGTCCTCTGTCGGTGTGTGTGTTGGGGGGGCCCCAGCCAGGGCTGCCGGACTGGAGGGGGAAGGGCAGGAGTTCAGGGAAGGTTCACCCGTGAGGTTCACCAGTGAGAGGTTCCTGTTTTCATTGCAAGGACAAGTTGCCAAACAGGTTTTGTTTCTTCTCTTCACAACGAGCCTTTTTTTTTCCTGCTTTAAAGTATGGGAACAAGTTCCCATATCCTTGTCTGATCTGCTAGTTGGACAAGCCCTGCTTTCCAAATACCTGTGCACGGGAGGACCAGGCTGCAGGAAACAGGCTCCTGGTCGCCGGCCTTAAAGTGGAGGCGTGGCTGCGACTCCCGTCCAGCCCCCGGCTCTGCTCCTACGCCGCTCCGGCTTGTCCTCACCACCAGCATGGGTGGTGGGGGGGTGTGTCCCAGAGACCTAAGGGCACCTCCCATCCCACTCTTGGTAGCACAGAAGGGTCAGCCTTTGGTGTCCTTGTTTACAACAAATACAGGGGCCGGCGCTGTGGTACAGCGGGTAAAGCCTCCACCTGCAACACGGAAACCCCGAATGACTGCTGGTTCCAGTCCCAGCTGCTCCATTTCCGATCTGGGAAAAGCAGCGGAGCATGGCCCAAGTGTTTGAGCCTCTGCCACCCCCGTGGGGCCACCCCCGTGGGGGACCAGGATGAAGCTCCTGGCTCCTGGCTTCGGCCTAGGCCCAGCTCTGGCCGTTGTGGCCATCCAGGGAGTGAACCAGCCAATGGAGGGCATCTCCCTCTCCCTCTCTGTAACTCTGACTTCGAAATAAATAAACAAATCTCAAAAACAACAAAAACAAATGCAGCCCTACGCAGTCCGAATTCCTAAGACTTAAGCCACGCTGTCCGTGTGGGGGGCTGGAGCTTGCTTCTCATCCCAGCCAGTGCTCCCTAAGAAGGGGAACGTGGTGACTTCTGGGAATGACCTCAGCAGCCCTGTATTTTCCCAGCCAGGGTTGGAGGAGTGGAGGGGGAGAGCCCCGAGGAGTGGGAGTGGGCTGTGGCCACCCCGCAGTGCTGTCTGCCTGCCGAACTGCCCGCAGGCCCCTGGTCCCCCCACCACCCCCCTTCTGCCTTGGGGCGTGACAGGATCTAGAACAAAGCTGGGGGCGACTTCGCTGGCTGAGCTTCGCTCCTGAGTCCGGAGCCTGCCCCAGAATCCTGGGAGCTATTTCCCTGCTGCCCCTCACTCCTGAGGCTCAGAGCACTTGGAAGTGAGACCCACTCCCGCGGGGCCCCTCTCTGGGTGCTGGAGCTCCCTGCGCGTGGCACAGGAGGAAGGCAAGACCCCAGAGGAGGACACCTAGTCCTGGGTCCAGGCCACGGGACTCCCCTCCCGGCCTCCCTGCCGTGGCCGTTCCACCCTGGTCGCAGGCAAGAATCCACATTTGGAAGCTGGGCTAATGGAACTGAGTCATTGATAAACAGGTCGTACACTCCATAAACTTTAACCTCGGAGTATTTGAGTCTGCAGCAGGGCTGCCAAGGGGAGTTACCTGAATTCAGGAAATGCCTTTGAGAGGCGGGGCTCGTTGAACACAGGACCCTGTGCCAGGCATACAGGGCTCCCACGCCTGGGCGTGCCCGGGCTTTGTGTGTGTGTGTGTGTGTGTGTGTGTGTGTGTATAAGGGTGTTGCCTCACCACGCACTGCTGTGCGGCCCACTCCCGGGTGACTGCCTGGAGCACTGGGCCTGCCCTAGTCACTGAAGATGCCCTCAGGCCTCTGTGGCGTTTATGAAATTGCCTAAGTGCCCATA